AGAGAGAGAGAGAGAGAGAGAGAGAGAGAGAGAGAGAGAGAGAGAGAGAGAGAGAGAGAGAGAGAGAGAGTGCCAGACTGCGGCAACAGCCTGTAGGGAAGGGCACAGAAGCCGGAGACCACCACACACTCACAATTGAGACAAAGCAAATCCTTCGAAAGAGGCTCGTCGTGAGCAGTACATTAAGCATAGTATTCAAAATCTGCACCCACGAAACCCAACCATCAAAGCATGAGCAAGTCACCAACACATGAGTACAGCATAGACCCTAGCTACCATAGCCAACATCTTCCCAGTTCACTCGACAACGCAGGTCCTTCTACCGGTTTCATCCATCTGCAAGGAATCGTCAGGAAGGCGCGTTCGTAGAACGTTTCTGTCGAAAAAAGAGAGAGGTCAGTGCCTTGCCTTTTGTGCTACTTATCTGCGGCGTACTCACACCCGACAATAAAATAAAATAAATAAAATAAATACCCCTCAAAACTTCCGACACTGGAACCATCCGTTCGTGGCAGCATTTGCTTTCGTGAAAATTGCACGCAGCAGGACTACATCAGAGACTAAAAACAGGAAACCAAAATCGTAGTCTTTCTACTGCAGGCATAAAGGTCCAATGACCTCGACTGAACTTGACAGGTACCNGACTACATCAGAGACTAAAAACAGGAAACCAAAATCGTAGTCTTTCTACTGCAGGCATAAAGGTCCAATGACCTCGACTGAACTTGACAGGTACCGGGTACGTATCCACGCCAAATACGGTCCGAAAATAAATAAATAAAATAAATCCCAAACTCCGATGTTGAAGACTTCTATCGTGGCAGCTTGTGCCTACAGGGAGTTCCGGAAAAAACTTTTTAGTCTCAAAAACCCGGGCGGGTATTCCTATGCAGCATGAAAACTGCGCGATTGCAAAATAGATAAACAAGTACATAAATAATAAATAACTCAACAGAACGTAGTCAAATAAAGGCACAAAACTTCTACGAAACTCTGACGGTTACCTGGTACGTACTGACCCGGGTACCTTAGGCTTTGCAAGTTCGTCGAAGCGCTCTACTTCGAGAAGTTGCAGCCTGTGAAAATCCTGAGTCGTTGTTCCGTGTCCCAGCTCGTCAGCCCGTAACTGTTTCGCAAGAAGTTCCAGGGATCGAGTCTCCTCAGAATCCTTTGGCAAGATAGCCAATATAGTCCCAGGTTAATCAGAATAGATTCTCCTGTAACCTTGGCCAGCTTAGCCAAGGCGCCGAGAGAGACCTCCGACGGGTAGCCTTGGAGGTCGCTCTCCAGTAACGCATAAGCAATAGTGCTTATCGTGAGGGCACGAGATGTAGAGGAGTTCCAGATCCTATTCAGGTTCACGGACATAACAACCTTCTTCATCTTTTTTTCTGAATAAGTCACGAAATCCTGTAGTGACTGGTACCGGAGCAAACCGCTGCATTCTTGATATCTTGAACGAAATGTACTTGGACCGGATCCGCCATAATGTACATTCGCCCTCCGACAAACTGCCACGTATTGCTCCCATCATCCTTGCGTACTAGCTTCAGGCGGGGATCATACGCAGCTTCGAATGCGTCCAGGATGTCGTGTGCTCTTGTCCACGCTCCCCCCTCCTTGTTGCATCCCACGACTATGGACACGTCATCTTTCATTCTCCAGCCCTTCTCAAGTCTCTTGTCTGCTCCTAGTAATTTGAGGAACTTCGTCTCAGCCATGGCACACGTGACCGTAGCAAGTATCGGGCTCATCGTCTTTCCCATAGGTATTCCTACGATTTGTCGCCTGATCGTCTCTCCGCACCTCATGTACGCATGTGATAAGTCGTAGTTGACCATCTTGAAAATAGTGTTCATACTTACTTTTACATATCTGTCTTCCTTCCGGTCGGTCTTCGACAAAACAGTCAGTCTTCCTCTTACTGCGACCTTTACTTGACACCAATTCTTGTTCTCAAACTCTCGGATGAGTTCAAACACCGCACTTCTCACGGCATCATGCGGAATCGAGGAGAACATCTCCTTGATGTCATAGCAACTGTGCTCTGGCACACCGACGCTGTCCCAACCTAGCTGGGTCATCACAGGCCGGAGCGATAGGCCTCCATCGTTGGAGGTCCTTATCCTTCGGGATGATGTACGCCTTACCTAGTTCCCCCTCGTTCCTCCACTTTCCCACCGCCGTCATACCTACTCTCTCATAGTCTTCCTTGCATCGTTGCAGAATATCGTGCTCGCTTTTCTCGACTCTCTTGTAGTCGGGATTCCAGGTAAACGTGCATCCAAAAGCATGTCTGTATAGTACCGGGTAGATAACGGCGGTATCGCCATTATTCCGGTCTATCGGTTCCAGAACCAATGCATCGTACTTTTTTGCCCACATTCTAGCCTCATAGTCCGTCCAAGTACGAGGTGTATCATCTGCTTCTCTGAAGCAAGCATGTACATCGAGTTGTTCCTCTTTGCTCCCTTTTAGATGTGCAGTGGCGTTCAGTATACCCGAGACGAGATCTGTTTCGCAATGTGGTTTCCCACTTTCTGTGACGTTCTTCGAGTTCCGAATGAAATTCGGTGTATCCTTGATCTCTGCAAATCTATTTAACACGTGACCTTCGTATCTAGCCAGTGAGAAATTCACACAGTTACAGGCTGTAGGCAGTGTATGTGCGTAACTCCTGTGTGTATGGATGATATCCCCAACTGTTCTGTTCTTAGTAGTCACGATCTGTAGTTTCTTCTTCACGAAGGCTACCACCGCCTCATCTTCTATCCTAGCGGAGATTACCCTTTCTACCACCTTTCTTACTTTCGTTGTCCTAACCATTGAACTGTACGGATATTTAACCGTTAGCTTCCTCCTGACACTGATTCCTGTCTTGCGTCTCAGTGTTCGGTCGAGCTTCACTTTCAGTCTGTACCTTGTTTCCTTTTTACCGAACAGTCCAGCCGTACGGTACAGTCCTATCAATTTGCTAGTAGAGAGTCGCGTCATAGAGGAAGCCATGCGGGGCTGTTTGAGCAGATTCTGTAGGGTGTACCGGTTTCTTTCGGTCATCGTCTTAGTTCGGATTATCTTCACAATCAGTGCTTTCGTGCCCGATTGGCAGATCCGTTTCATGTTCTTGAGCGGCAGTGTACGGCCCTCGGCCGTGATCATAGTGCAACCAAACTTGGCGACCAATTTCTTCCAATCGTCAGCCCAGACCTGTCCACTATTAAAAATGACTTCCAGATCCCATTCTTGCTTCTCTAGCTTCTCATCTAACAGATTAATAAGAGAAGTTCTAATCTGATCATCTATTGTGAAGCTAACCACGGTCTTTCCATGCCTCTTCCCGACTCGTCTCTTTCGTTCTCTCCTACCTTTCCGTCTTCTCGTCCTCCTAGTCGCTGCACTTCCTATCCCCATCATGTTCAGGCTTGGTGATAGTTCTTTGATGAGATGCTGCTCGAACGCGAAGTCGTCTGCATCCAGGGAATGTTGGATCAGTACTATGACAAAGTTGTGCACCCCTATTCTCCTCATCCACCTGTAAAGATGAGGTGCCTTTCACAGCGTTTTTGATGTAGCTGCCAGGATATGTTGCTTCCACCGTAGAAGAATAGGTCGTGCAGTGCAACCCACGTAGACCTTCTTAGTCAGTGGACTGGTGATCACGTAAGTACCCCCAGTCCTCAAATCCGATAGGCCGTCTGTCACTTCCATCTTGTCGAGGTACAGTTGCAGCCACTTCAATTCTCCAGAGAATCCGAGCAGGATTGTCGTCAAAGTAATGCGTTTTTCCAATAGCGTCATCCGATCCCCTTTCGCGCCCTGCCCCCTAAGAGCCTCACGTTCCTTCATGCATGACTTGAGAGTCTGCCAAAGGTCTGTGATAGGGGGCGGTGACCGTCAATCAGATTCGGGTTCGTGTTCTTCTTTCGTGGTAGCCGATCGAAGAGCGACTCGTGGTGTATCTTGGTTCAGTTTTGCCTTGCCTCAGGTCGTCATAGTAGACTTTCCAGCTTCAGGTGCAGCTTGAGGGGTCTTCTCTTCGTCTCGGCCTATCTTCAGAGTTGTTGTCTTCTTCGTGAGTGGTGTCGTGAAGTAACCTTCGTATGCCAATTTCGTCTGTCTCCTGACCAGTTCCATCACCATGTCCTTTTTCTTGGTTGCTTTGATTCCGTACTTCGTACATAACACCTTCAATGCCATCGCTTTCTTAGCGGAGTACTGTTTTAGGACTGCTAGTGTATAGTCCATAAAACCTTCCTTCGAGCATCCGGCAGGGATGCCTTTGTAACCTTCCGACAGCGGGGTCTTCAGTTCAAAGGTCATCTTCCGGGGTGTTGCTGGCGGCGTCGAAGGGGTTCCCGTTCTCCGCGAGCATTCTCCTTTTTCTATGGTTCTCCACGGAATACTTCTCTCCTCCGATAGCCTTGCCTGCTTTCTCCTCACCTTCGACTTCTTACCTCCGCGCCGTCTTCTATCCCTGATCTTCGGGCTTTCGTCTCTCGACTCCGTAGTCTCACCCTCCGAAGAATCGCTCTCCTCGGTTTCTGACGAGGAAGAGGAATCAAGGGACTCGACATACCTCTTCGTATCTTTCTTTTTCCTTGAGATCTTCTTGGCTTTCCCTTTCTTCCCATACTTCTTCGCGATCCCTTTGCTCGTCGAAGGAACCTGCGAAGTAACCAGTTTCTGGTTCGCAGGCTCGTCGTTCTTCTTCTTGTCGAGTTCTCTCGCCTTCAGAGTCGCCTCTTCTTGTTGTAGTCTCCATTTCTCCGCGATATCTGCCTGGAGTTGCAGTCTCATCTCTTCCGTCCTTCTCGCCATATCCATTTCCCTTCTTCTCTCTTCTTCTTCCCTCGCTTTCTGTTGTTCCTCCTCTTTTTTCTTCCTCTCCTCAACCTTCTCTTTCATTAGATCGCGTACGAACACATGAAGTTCGTCATCGTGCTGAGCCGGCTTCCCGCGTTTAGCACAGCAGTCACGAGCATAGTGCCCATATTTACCACAGTCATAGCATTGTATACCGTTCGGTCGGCCTCTGTTACCCCCGTTGTTCCCTCCGTTATTGTTCATCCCTCCTCCGTTTCCGTTAAACCGCCCTCCGTTTCCGTACATCATGAAGTATCGTTGTAACAAGCTACGTGTAAGGCTAAAGTTGCGTTATGTAATCCAATCACCCAGTCACTAGCTCTGATATCGGTATTCCCTAGACTCTCCAAATGTCAGCAATCTCCTCAATCTTCGTTCTCTGAAGTCGTCTTCTTAAGTGGAGCAGTCGGGCAGCTCTCCTGATCCGAAGTAAGACTCCTTGCAGTTGCCTATATACCGCGATTCTTGTCCGATTGTCAGAAATCAAACTAGCTATGGCGTATACATGTCTTAGAGTAGTGTTGACGTAAGTTTCCAGCAGTTCTACCAAACTGGCTCTAATCTCTCTATCATTCTCCCTATTGCGTCTTCTAAACTGTCCACCCGCTCACAGACTGGAGGCATGGTAACTAGAACATTGAGCCGATCATGAAAAGTGCTATACCGAAAAATATCAGCCCACAACTATACAGTAATCTTCGTAGCATGTTAAAAATGTTTCGATCTCACCCTTCACTTATGGTAGCCACCTTCCCACGTACACCTAAGGTAGCTAGTTCCTAAACTCTCTAATGTCAACAAATACAAACAATACTCATCTACGTTCGTGTTGACGAACCCACTGAGTACAAAAGTACAGATGTACCATCACAGCCACCGTTAAGCCTTAGTACTTTGGTTACTTTGTTCCCAAGAGTGGCAGACTGCGGCAACAGCCTGTAGGGAAGGGCACAGAAGCCAGAGACCACCATATACTTACAATTGAGACAAAGCAAATCCTTCGAAACAGGCTCGTCGTGAGCAGTACATTAAGCACAGTATTCAAAATCTGCACCCGCGAAACCCAACCATCAAAGCATGAGCAAGTCACCAACACATGAGTACAACATAGTCCCTAGCTACCCTAGCCAACATCTTCCCAGTTCACTCGACAACGCAGGTCCTTCTACCGGTTTCATCCATCTGCATGGAATCGTCAAGAAGGCGCGTTCGTAGAACGCTTCTGTCGAAAAAAAAAAGAGGCCAGTGCCTTGCCTCTTGTGCTACTTATCTGCGGCGTACTCACACCCGACAATAACATAGAATAAATAAAATAAATACCCCTCAAAACTTCCGACACTGGAACCATCCGTTCGTGGCAGCATTTGCTTTCGTGAAAATTGCACGCAGCAGGACTACATCAGAGACTAAAAACAGGAAACCAAAATCGTAGTCTTTCTACTGCAGGCATAAAGGTCCAATGACCTCGACTGAACTTGACAGGTACCAGGTACGTATCCACGCCAAATACAGTCCCAAAATAAATAAATAAAATAAATCCCAAACTCTGATGTTGAAGACTTCTGTCGTGGCAGCTTGTGCCTACGGGGAGTTTTGGAAAAAACTTTTTAGTCTAAAAAACCCGGGAGGGTATTCCTACGCAGCATGAAAACTACGCGATTGCAAAATAAATAAACAAGTACATAAATAATAAATAACTCAACAGAACTTAGTCAAATAAAGGCACAAAACTTCTACGGAACTCTGACGGTTACCGGGTACATACTGACCCGGGTACCTTAGGCTTCGCAAGTTCATCGAAGCGCTCTACTTCGAGAAGTCGCAGCCTGTGAAAATCCTGAGTCGTTGTTCCGTGTCCCAGTTCGTCGGCCCGTAACTATTTCGCAGGGAGTTCCAGGGATCGAGTCTCCTCAGAATCCTTTGGCAAGATAGCCAATGTAGTCCCAAGTTAATTAGAATACATTCTCCCGTAACCTTGGCCAGCTTAGCCAAGGCGCCGAGAGAGAGAGAGAGAGAGAGAGAGAGAGAGAGAGAGAGAGAAGTCTCCAACCTCGGTCAACAGCTAAGTCTCCAACCCGCGCCTCGCCGCACTCTACTTGGATCGATAGAATGAGCAAATCAAAAGTTGCAGTGTATATTTCCACGTTTCAGC